GCTCTAGCTGCTGGTGAGGCTGCTGCTCTGGGTGCTAGTGTGTCTCCTGCTCCAGGTACAGGTGCGGCTACTGCTCTAGGTGCTAGTGCGGCGGCTGCTCTAGGTGCCAGTGCGTCTGCGTCCTCAGGTGCTGGTGAGTCTGCGCTCTCAGGTACCGCGTCGGCTTCGGCCTCCCTCACCTTCACACTTGACTCAGGGGCCTCTCGCTCCTTCTTTCGAGACCGCACCACTCTCACGCCGCTTGATCGGCCGGTTGCAGTCTCCTTGGCAGACCCCTCTGGGGGTCCTGTCCTTTCTCACTTCTCCACTCTCCTCCCGTGTCCGGCTGCCCCCTCTGGCACCTTGTCTGGTCTTTACCTCCCCTCGTTCTCTACGAACTTGGTGAGTGGTGCTGACCTGCAAGATGCGGGGGTTCACCAGTTTACTCCTGCGAGTCAGCGGGTGGCCCACTGCTCGGACGCTCGCACAGGCCGGCACCTGGCCACGTTTACGCGTCGGCCGGGGTCGAGCCTGTACACTTTGACCACTGAGTCTCCTCCTGTCACCGCGTCTGGTCAGGTAGCTGCGTCGGGTCAGGTTTTTGCTGCAGCGTCCAGGTCTGGTCCTGAGTCTGCCCCCTGCTCGTGTCGCCACCTGTCTCACGAGACTCTCCTGTGGCACCACCGTCTTGGTCACCCCTCCCTGCCTCGTCTCCGAGGCATGGCCTCCCGTGTCCTTGTCTCTGGTCTTCCCCGGTACCTCCCTCCCCTTCCTCCGGGGCCTGGCCCCACCTGAGTCCCCTGTGTTGAGGGGCGGCAGCGGGCGGCCCCCCACTCCTCCCAGTTTCCTCTGACAGAGGCCCCGTTGCAGACGCTTCACATGGACGTGTGGGGCCCAGCCCACGTCTGTGGACAGGGTCACGAGCGCTACTTCCTGCTCGTTGTTGACGACTACTCGCGTTACACCGCAGTCTTCCCTTTGCGCAACAAGGGTGATGTCACTGAGGTGCTGATCGACTGGATCCGCGCAGCTCGTCTCCAGCTTAGGCAGAGCTTTGGCTCGGACTTTCCTGTTCTGCGTCTGCACTCGGACAGAGGCGGAGAGTTTTCTTCTGACCTTCTGAGAGCCTACTATCGCGCACGAGGGATTCGTCAGACCTTCACGCTTCCGGAATCCCCGCAGCAAAATGGGATTGCTGAGCGCTACATTGGCATGGTCATGGACGTCTCTCGTACGTCTATGATGCATGCGGCTGCTCCCTATTTTCTGTGGCCGTTTGCGGTGAGGTACACGGCGCATCAGCTCAACCTACACCCCAGGGTCTCCCGGCCGGAGACCTCCCCAACCTTGCTATGGACGGGGAAGGTTGGCGATGCGTCGGCGTTCCAGGTCTGGGGATCTCGGGCGTTTGTCCTCGACTTCTCTGCGGACAAGCTGTCCCCTCGTGCTGCTCCTTGCGTCTTCCTGGGGTTCCCCCCTGACGCGCCTGGGTGGCAGTTCTACCACCCCACCTCTCGCCGTGTTGTGTCCTCCCAGGACGTCACGTTTGACGAGTCGGTCCCCTACTACCGCCTCTTCCCCTACCGCACTTCGTCCCTCCCCCCGCCGTCGCTCTTCCTTGTACCAGGTCCCCCTCCGGTAGACCCCCTCCCCCCTCAGGGTCCGTCCCCTTTAGGTGTGTCCCAGGTAGACGCGGTCGAGCCTGTCGAGGTTGCTGGTGACTCTGGTGCTGCTGGGGGTACTGAGCCTGGGGGTGCTGAGCTTTGGGGTACTGAGCCTAAGGGTGCTGTGACTGGGGGTACTGAGCCTGGGGGTACTGAGCCTGGGGGTGCTGTGCCTGGGGGTGTTGCGCCTGGGGGTGCTGAGCCTGGGGGTGCTGAGCCTGGGGGTCCTGAGCCTGGGGTTGCTGAGCTTGGAGGTGCTCCGCCTGGAGTTTCTCCGGGTGCTTCATCTCTGCGGGAGTGACTCTCTCCACGGGAGCTGCGCGAGTGGTTTGCACAGCGCTGGAGGCGTGCTGCTGGTGCTGGAGGTTCCTCGGCTACTGAGGGTGCTGCTGTCGCGGGTCCCGGAGGTGCTCGTACTGGGAGTACTGGAGCTGCCGGGCCTGCGGGTTCGACTGGAGCTGGTGCTGCTGCGGGCGTTGGAGCTGAGACTGCTGCTGGAGGTCCTGCTGCGGGTACTACTGGTGCTGCTGGAGGTGCGGGAGCCGGAGGTGCTCCTGGCGCTGGTGCTGCCGCTGAGGGTGCTGGTGCTGTCCCTGCTGTGTCTGGAGTCGCCACGCGGCCTCGGCCGTACTTCGTTCCGCTCCTTCAGCAGGTTCTTGGTCTCCCGTCTTCTACTAGTCCTTCTCCTCCTCCCTTAGAGTGTCCACAGCCTGTCCCGTCGCAGTTACAGTTACCGCCGGCCTCCCCACTGCCTGCTCCGTCTCCCTACACTGGTCCTACTGGAGGTCTTGCTGAGCGTCGTGAGCCTGCGTCTCGCCCTGCGTCGCCTGTTCGTGCTGCTCGCACTAGTGGTCGCAGTTCGCGTCAGCGTCCTCCTCCTGTCCCTGGCACGCACCGGATGTCTCTGCGTCCGTCCACTGCTCCTCTGCGTGCCCCTTTGCCTTCTCCTCCTGAGTCTTCTCTTCCTGCTCTTGCCGACCCGGAGTCGGACTCTCTTCGTGCTGCCAGTCCTACTGTCACGCGTCTCCTGGCTACTGTTGTCACTGACCCTTCTTTCGAGTCCACTGCTGCGTCTTCCCTAGTTGCTGAGCTCGTCGACTTTGCTGCTCGCTGTCGCCTAGACTACGCTGGTAGTCTTGTCGCTGAGTCTGAGTCTGTCTGTCCTCCGTCCGTCGGGGGTGAGTGTGCCCTTGGCACGGACGTCCTTGAGGACAGGCAGGAGGAGTTCTAGTGCTTGGCAGCTACTTCACCTCATCTCGTGTCCGTACTGCTTACCCCTGAGGGAGACCCGGATGCACTTGACATCCCGACTCCGCGCTCTTACGCGGAGGCGATAGAGGGTCCCTACTCCTCTCAGTGACAGGCAGCTATGGACGCATAGATGGCTTCCTAGAAGTCCACAGGCACCTACGTTGACGCTGTCCCCCCTCCTGGGGCGAACATCGTTAGTGGCATGTGGATCTTCAGGTTGAAGCGGCCGCCGGGTTCTCCACCTGTCTTCAAGGTGCGTTACGTGGCTCGTGGCTTCAATCAGCGGCAGGGAGTTGACTAGTTTCAGACCTTCTCTCCCACCCCGAAGATGACCACTCTTCGGGTACTGCTGCACGTTGCTGCTCACCGTGACTACGAGCTGCACTCTCTTGACTTCAGCACAGCTTTCTTGCAGGGCAGCCTGCACGAGGAGATCTGGCTGCGCCGCCCACCTGGCTTCATTGGGTCTTTCCCTCCTGGTACCCAGTGGAGTCTCCGGCGTCCAGTCTACGGTCTCCGCCAGGCGCCACGTGAGTGGCACGACACACTGAGGACTACGCTTGCGGCTCTTGGGTTTGCTCCTTCTACTGCCGACCCGTCGCTGTTTCTGCGCACCGACACCTCTCTGCCGCCGTTCTACATCCTCGTGTACGTCGACGACTTGGTCTTTGCCACGGCTGACACTGCTGGACTCGCCTACGTGACACACGTGCACAGACCTGGGTGAACTGCGCAGCTACCTTGGCTTGCAGATCACCCGGGACAGAGCACGCCGCACCATTACCCTGACTCAGTCACACATGGTGCAGCAGGTCCTTCAGCGCTTCGGCTTCACGTACTCCTCGCCTCAGGCCACTCCTCTGTCTACTCGCCACTCGCTCTCAGCTCTGCCTTCGGATGAGTCCGTAGAGTCGAGTGGCCCGTATCCAGAGCTGGTTGGCTGCCTCATGTACCTGATGACCTGCACACGACCTGACCTTGCATACCCTCTTAGCATTCTCGCACGCTATGTTGCTCCTGGGAGACACAGACCAGAGCACATGGCTGCAGCGAAGAGGGTGTTGCGCTACTTGTGCAGTACGTCGGGCATGGGGCTAGTGCTTGGAGGGCGACGTCGAGTAGTCCTCACAGGTCACGGTGACGCTTCTTGGGCTGAAGACCAGGCTACGCAGCGGTCGTCACAGGGTTACACCTTCAGCCTTGGCTCCGGCTCTGTTTCGTGGCGGTCTACTCGCTCGTCCTCTGTTCTCGGCTCCAGCTGTGAGGCTGAGATCTACGCAGGGGCCATGGCTGCACAGGAGCTATGATGGCTCACCTACCTGCTGACTGACCTAGGAGAGCCGCCTCGTTCTCCTCCAGTTCTGTACGTAGACAACAAGGCCATGCTGGCCTTGTGTCGGGAGCACAGACTAGAGCACATAACGAAGCACATTGCTCTCCGCTACTTCCTTTCTCGTGAGCTGCAGCATCGTGGTCAGCTCCGCCTCACTTACGTGGCCTCTGAGGCCAACACTGCTGATATCTTCACCAAGGCCCTTCCGCCTTGTGATCATCAGCGTTTCTGTACTGTGCTAGGTCTTGTGCCTACCTGGCCTCACTTGCTCACTTCTTGATCTTGTTTGTACTGTCTTCTTTCTATACCTGCCCTTGCTTGTTTTATCTTTATATATATGACCTTGCATTTGCATGTGAGCTGGCCTTGTGGCCTTACTCTTGTGCTTGGACTGTGTGGTGACTTTGTGATCCACCCTGAGCTTGCTTTGCTTTGCTTTGCTTGACTGGTCTTGTGACCACTTGTTCTCCCCCACTTTGCCTATGGGGGTGTGTCAGAACATTATAGCTTATACATTTGTGTAGGCTGTAGTGGGGTAGCCCATAAGGGGTACAACCCAATTAGGGTTAGTACTTGTACCCAACTGTTTCATAGTTCATTCATTTCCATTCTCACTTCTCGTCAGAATGTACCAGAAGCTTTGCGTGACGCAACGACACAAGCAGTTCCGACAACCCACACACATGCAACGAGAATGTTTAGGTGATCCAGAGCTAGTCGACCTGTGAGACCAGTGCAGCGAAGGACCTGCGGCCTGCTCTTTTAGAATAATATTAAAAAGGGGAGGGGAGGGGACGGTAGTGAGGAATAACGACGAGAAAGATCAAGGGCGAGAGGAACAAGGACGTGAATGGAAGCGGAGATGGGAAGAGCGACGTTAGGGGAGCGGAGAGAGGAAGAAAGACGGGAGGGGAGCGGAGACACCGAGGGCGAAGAAAGGGGATGGGAGAACAACAAGAAGACGCGAAGGTAGGGGAGTTCTTGAGGGCGACGAGACGGGATGGAATAAAGGTACGCTGATCAAAAGGAAAGGGTGATGGCAATATCGTGGGGAAGGGAAGGGAGGGGCGATGGCGCGGGTAGAGAGGAGCGCGATGGCGACTACTCGAGAGCGTTTCGTGGTGCCGACAGTGACAGGAACCGTAACGATCGCGCGAGAGGCGAAAGAGCACTTCGCCGGAAGGCAAGCATATATATAACGTTGGGACAGAGCGAAGAAGAGAGCGAGGGCGATGGGAGAGAGGGCGACGGGAGAGAGGGCGACGGGAAGGGCGCGGAGAGAGAGAGCACGACGGGAAGGGAGGGGCGAGAGAGAGGGCGACGGGAAGGGAGCGGAGAGAGAGAGCGCGATGGGAAGGGAGGGGGGAGAGAGAGGGCGACGGGAAGGGAGGGGAGAGAGTGAGGGCGGCGGGAAGGGAGGCGACGGGAAGGGCGCGGATAGAGAGAGCGCGACGAGATGAGAGGGGCGAGAGAGAGGGCGACGAGAAGGGCGCGGAGAGAGAGAGCGCGATGGGAAGGGAGGGGCAAGAGATAGGGCAACGGGAAGGGAGGGGAGAGAGAGAGCGAGATGGGAAGGGAGGCGACGGGAAGGGCGCGGATAGAGAGAGCGCGACGAGATGAGAGGGGCGAGAGAGAGGGCGACGAGAAGGGCGCGGAGAGAGAGAGCGCGACGGGAATGGAGGGGCAAGAGAGAGGGCGACAGGACAGGAGGGGAGAGCTCGTAAGCGATGGGACGAAATGGGAAAAACGGGGTGGGAGACGAGAGAATGTTTCGAGGCAAGCGCGAATGCGAAGAGATGGGTGATGGGCGGGGGGAGACGGAATAAGGCCGCCGCGAGGGCAATTCCACGCGAATGTGAAGGTGATGAGCTGAGCGACGAAAGGGCGTTTCGGCGGCGAGCGCGTTCAACCGAAAAATCTCGAGGCAAGTATTGCTTCGAGACGCGTAAGATCCCTCGTCACTAGGCCACGAATAGAAGGATGTGGATTAAATCTATAAAAATGAATATTTTTATAAGTGTAACGCTTTTCAAAATTTCGTATTTTGAAAGCGAAGCAGTCTGTGATGTAGGAATGGGCAGCGACGAACCGCGCTAAACGCCCGTTTTGGAGTAAAAAACGTGGGCTGGAGGTCATTTCCTGTCAGAATGTTATTGTATACATCACTTTATAATTGCCTGCAATGTAGACTTAGTGTAGTTATCTTGCTTGTTAGGTGGTGCACCTTGCTTCACTTCTTTCATATTTGTACCCTTGAACCTATAGTGAAACCATCCTTTCTCCTTCTCAACTCTCTCGATACTTTTCCTTACCCTCGAACTAACTACCAAGGCTCCTAAGCTATGGCTCCTAAGCCTACTTTTACTTAGCCTATCTCAACATGTTATCAGAGCGACTACGCTCTTGGCCTGTGGGCCCCACGTGCTTCCGATGCTTTCTTGTCTGTCGCGCGCCCCGTGGCGCGCGACACTTTTTTCTTCCCGCCACGCGCTCGGGGCGCGTGGCGGTTTTCCGCCCGCCGTGCGCCCCAGACGCGCGGCGTCATCCTGCCCCGTCGCCGCCCTTCTCGGCCCCTCACGGCCTCTTCGCGGCCTCGTCGCTGCTCCTCTCACGGCCTCTCGCGCTACCCTCAGTGGCCCCGTCGCCACACTTGGCGACCCTGTCGCCGCCCCTATCGGCCCTGTCGCCACTCCTAGCGGCCCCGTCGCCGCCCCTAGCGGCCCCGTCGCCGCCCTTCTCGGCCCCTCGCAGCCCCTTCGCGGCCCTGTCGTCGCCCCTTCTCGGCCCCGTCGCCGCCTTTAGCGGCCCCGTTGCCGCCCCTAGCGGCCCCGTCGCCGCTCTTCGCGGCTCCGTTGCCGCCCCTAGCGGCTCCGTTGCCACCCCTTGTGGCCCCGTCCCCTGCTCGTCGCGGCGCACCCCCCCCTGGCCGCCGCCTCTGCCTCCCCTGCACCCGTGCCTGCTCAACAGCAGCGCGCGGGCCTGCCTTGCAACAGCAGCCGCCTCTGGAGCAGCCGCCGCTGCAGCTGCCGCCCCTGGAGCCGCTACCACTGCAGCAGCCGCCCCTGGAGCAGCAGCCGCCCCTGGAGCAGCAACCGCTGCAGCAGCCACCCCTGGAGCCGCTACCCCTGCAGCAGCAGCCCCTGGAGCAGCCGCCCCAGCAGCAGCCGCCCTTGGAGCAGCCGCCGCTGCAGCAGCCGCCCCTGGAGCCGCCGCCCCAGCAGCGGCCGCCCCTGGAGCAGCAGCCGCCCCTGGAGCCGCTACCCCTGCAGCAGCCGCCACTGCAGCAGCAGCCCCTGGAGCAGCCGCCCCAGCAGCAGCCGCCCCTGAAGCAGGCGCCGCTGCAGCAGCCGCCCTTGGAGCCGCCGCCCCTGAAGCAGCCGCCCCAGCAGCAGCCGCCCCTGGAGCAGCCGCCGCTGCAGCAGCCGCCCCTGGAGCCGCTACCACTGCAGTAGCAGCCCCTGGAGCAGCCGCCCCAGCAGCAGCCGCCCCTGGAGCAGCAGCCGCTGCAGCAGCCGCCCCTGGAGCCGCTAACCCTGCAGCAGCAGCCCCTGGAGCAGCCGCCCCAGCAGCAGCCGCCCCTAGAGCAGCCGCCGCTGTAGCAGCCGCCCCTGGAGCCGCTGCCCCTGAAGCAGCCGCCCCTGCAGCAGCCGCCCCTGGAGCCGCTACCCCTGCAGCAGCCGCCCCTGAAGCGGCCGCCCCTGCAGCAGCCGCCCCTGGCCACTGGAGCAGCCGCCACTGCAGCAGCCGCTCCTGGACCCGGTGCAGCCGTGGGGGGGTGGGTATGGGGGTGGCGGGTGTGGGGGTGATGAGTGTGGGAGTTATGGGGGTGGCGGGTGTGAAAGGGGTGTGGGACAGGTGAGGGAAGTTGAGTGGAGGTGGCCGCCGTGAAGTCAACAGCTCTAGTCGCCCGTGAGACCGTTGCGCCAGTCGCCCGTGAGCCCGTCGCTCCAGTCGCCCGTGAGCCCGTTGCTCCAGTAGCCCGTGAGTCAGTTACTCCAGTTGCCCGTGTGCCAGTTGCTCCAGTTGCCAGTGTGCCAGTTGCTCCAGTTGCCCGTGTGCCAGTTGCTCCAGTTGTGCAGTGTGCCAGCAGCTTCAACTGCCGCCCACCACCTCCTCTCCTCTCATAGTCCCTCCTCCTCCTCATTTTCCCTCTCCGTCTGCTGCGCTCTACTTGGTGTACCCCTTCCGGGGGTGTTTCTGCACATGGTTCTTCACTGCAAGCAGTTAGGGGGTGTGTCAGAATGTTATTGTATACATCACTTTATAATTGCCTGCAATGTACACTTAGTGTAGTTATCTTGCTTGTTAGGTGGTGCACCTTGCTTCACTTCTTTCATATTTGTACCCTTGAACCTATAGTGAAACCATCCTTTCTCCTTCTCAACTCTCTCCATACTTTTCCTTACCCTCGAACTAACTACCAAGGCTCCTAAGCTATGGCTCCTAAGCCTACTTTTACTTAGCCTATCTCAACATTTCCCTCCACCCACGTCTCTCATTTTCAAACGGTTTAGCCGATTTTCGTCTCCCACACTCAAGCTGGCGAGGACCAAGTCTCTTCCTTGCTTTCAATCCCCGTCGACTTTACTCTCTGACATTTTCGCGCACAACGCAACAACTATGGCACTTAACGGCGGGGAGTCTAATACCGCTACGGCCCCTGCTCGACCCGAGTCCGCAAGAAACGCACGCGAAATCGCGGGCGATCGCCCAAACAAGCGCCGGGCAGAAGACGGGGAAATTTCCCCGACTAGCGTCGACTTCCTGCTGGGCGCGACCGAGGCACACGCTGCTGGTGTCGAGGCACACGCCCCTGGTGTGCCTCGAGCCCCTGTGGCCCCTGACGCGCCGACCACAACAGAAGGCGCCAAATCGGCACCAACCAGCGCGGCTGGCATCCCGCGTCCGCGCCAGCGACGCAGGCCTGTGGGCCTTGACGCGCCTGTGGGCCCGGACGCGCCTATGGGGCCTCATGCGCAAGTGGCGACGGGCGCGCAAGTGGCGCCATCATTCACTGCAGCCCAACTGCAGCAGCTGCTGACCCTGTTACAGCAGTAGACCCCTGCTGTTACTGAAGAAATCGCTACACCAAACGCAACTTCGGTTTCTGCTAAAAGCGAAAAGGCGAAAACGGAGTCCGTGAAGCGCGCTCGCACGACAAAAACCGGAAGGGGCGAAGACACATGCGCCGTTGCGACCCCAGTCATGAACAACCCCACCGACAGTGACAATGAATAAGACGAAGACGGTGAGGCTCATGCTATAAATGTCGCTTTTGCATCCGATGAGCAACTCCCTCCGCTCCCTTCTCCCAACCCCACCCTCACCGCCGCCTCGTTCAAGAACGCCGCCATGTGCGAGCAAGCCGAGGTCCTGGAACACCTGCGGGCGTACTTGAAGCATGCAGAGCACAAGGTGCGGCACAACGAGCCGGCAAGCGCCCTCGAATTCCTTGGCGAAGCCTTCACGCTCATCACCAACCGCTTCAAGTTACTTCACGTCGCCGATTACACCAACTTCCGCACCGCAAACAGGTTCAAGCTCTATGAAGACAAGAGCGTCTTCACTTCTCGCCCGTTCAAGCAGGCCGTAGCGGACGTAGCGGCTATGGAGCGCGCCCAAGGAAATTTCAATCGCGCCCCACGGGGCGGAGGGCGTGGGCCCATGGCCTTTGGGAACAAGCGTGGCCTGCCAAGTGATGGCAACGGCAGGAGCTTTCGAGGCTCTTGCTACCGCTGCGGGCAGCCGGGCCACATGGCCAACGCTTGCCCTGAAAATGGGGCGGGAGCCCAAGGGCCCGCACCGGTGGTGTGAACTCCCGAAAAGGCAATCACCCAGTGTCGAGGGGCATGATCAAGGTAGCATTAGGGAGTGCAAGGCCGCTGGCCGTTTTCCGTAGGGGATGGTAGAATGGCCGCGGGCCAACCCCAAGGAAAGGGGATAGGACTAGGAGTCCTAGAGTAAAGCATTTAATGAAATGGTGGATATCTTGTGTGCATTATTGAGGGCTCGGAATGCATAATGGGCTATGTTTGTGAAAACTGTGATTTTTGTGTGACTTACTAAGGCCCTTGGTTTCAACGTGTGTAAGAAGCTGCAACGGGAGCAGCCACAAGCCTCTGAAAAAAAAAAAAAAAAAAAAAAAAAAAAAAAAAAAAAAAACCAGAGAATAAGAGCAAGAGAGAGAAAGAGGGAAACAAGCGAGAGAGAAAACTACGAAGGGAGGGAGTTTTTTGTTCCCACTAAGCCAGGAGCCCGAGACGTAAGGCAAGATTTCCATGGTCTTAAGAAGGGGACGGTAGCAAGGACGGCTATCCAACGAATCTGGAGAACGGCAAGCATGATCATGCAAAAAAAAAAAAAAAAAAAAAAAAAGAGGGGGAAGGAAGGAAGAGCGCGAGCGAGATGTTCACCGTGATGAGCTCACCGAGCAAAAGAAGGAGCTGCCCTACGAGCACCACATGTTAGGCGCAGAGCGGAACACCCAAGTGCATGTAATCAGGCAAAAGGACTCATGAAAAAAAAAAAAAAAAAAAAATCAACAACAACAACGAGAGAGAAAGGAAGAGAGAGAAAAAGAGAGAGCGAGAGTGAGAACCTCACGGGGGACCTACATTGCCGCATACCTTGCTTAACGAAGCATGTCCCATGCTGCCCCAAACCCCATGGTCCACAGATACACCAGGTATCGGCTCGATGGTTGAGTATGACCCGTACGAGATCGCGATCACCGACAAGCTCGTCACGACCATGCGCGGACGCCTGCGCGCAGCATTTCCTTGGTGGAGCTCATGGTGCGAGAGTAGCTTCATACTCTCGGTGGTTTTAAATGACTATTAAATGCCATGGAAGCATGGGCCCCCCACGCCGTTTCAGAAAGACAACCACGCGGGAGCACTAATCCACTCAAAGTTCACCAAGCAGGCCATAATCGAGCTCCTTGATAGTGGTGCGGCCATTATCGCCCCCGGATCCCAACAGCTCTGCATCAGTCCACTAAATGTGGTGGTTCAAAGAGACAAGTGCCGACTGATTCTTGACCTCAGAAGAGTAAACCAAAATCTGAGCATCCCCAAATTCAAGTACGAGGGATTGAAGCGGGTGGCGGAGCTCGTCAGCATAGGCGATTGGATGTTCGTTGTCGACCTCAAATCAGGATACCACCACGTTGACATCCATCCGTCATGCTGGAAGTACCTGGGATTCCAATTCGACGGTGTCAGTAGATCTGCACTGTGGATGCCCGATTGATCCTAGAGAGGGTTACAGGCGCGTTCGCCTGGGGGGTTATGGGCGCACTGACCCGCTACTGAAACAAGCCCTTTTATCCCAATGGTCTAGTGGTTGGGATTTCTGACTTGGTATCAGAGCGGTCTCGGGTTCGATTCCCGGTGTATGCACATGTAGGCCGGTGCCGTTGTGCTTAGTCCTGGGCCTCCCAGTGTGGGGGGGTGTCAGTAGATCTGCACTGTGGATGCTCGATTGATCTTGGAGAGGGTTACAGGCGCGTTCGCTTGGGGGGTAAATGGGCGCACTGACCCGCTACTGAAACAAGCCCTTTTATCCCAATGGTCTAGTGGTTGGGATTCTGACAGACGGGCGCTCATACGTCTTTCGGTCCCTCCCTTTTGGCCTCGCGACGGCCCCATTTGTATTCACGCAACTTATCAAGCAGCTCGCCCGCCGCTGGCGGGCCCTCGGGGTATGAGTCATCCCGTACGTTGACGACATCATATTTTTGTGTCACACGGAAGCAGAGGCTCGAACTACGTGTCAGATGGTGGTGGAGGACCTCAACAAGGCGGGGCTAGTCATTAATTCTAAGAAGTCGCATCTGCAACCCACCCAGTAGCTGCGCTTTCTGGGTGTCGAACTGGATACTAAGCACGGCCAGTTCTCCATTGGTCCAGAGCGGCGTACATCGTTACGCTCGACCATTCAAGAACTTTGCATGGCAGGCAGAGCCAAGTGCAAGGTCCCGATCCGCCATGTAGCAAGGGTCACTGGCATGCTCGTGTCAGAACCAGCAGTAGAAAGTAAGAATGAAGAAAGGAGGGCGTTTCACTAGCAGCAGTTGGGATACATATAGCAAACCCTAACAGGGTTGTACTCGCTATAGAGCACCCCACTACAGGCTAGATAATATAACATTCTGACACACCCCCATAGCCAAAGTGGGGTGTAATCAGCACAACAAGCAAGCATAGTAATAGTTCACAATTATAAGCAAAGCTAGAGGTAATCACAGAGGGCAAGTTAGGAGGAGGAGGGAATGTGAGAGGAGAGAAGATGGGAGACGACGGCTGAAGCTGCAGACACACGGGCAACAGGAGCGGCTGGCATAGTGGCTACCGGGACAGCGCCCCGGACTACTGGAGTAACTGGCTCACGGGCTACGAGGAGCTACAGGAGCAACGGACCCACGGGCGACAGGCGCAGCAGGCTCTCTGGGCTACCAGGACAGCGCCCCGGACTACAGGTGCTGCGGACGACAAGACGGCAGCCTCCTCTCAGCCTCCCCAAACAGTCCCACCCCCCCTGACACACACCCCCTACTTAACCCCTAGCTCCACTCCCCCTTCACCCCCCCTTAGTACCACTCCAACGGCTCCAACAGGTCCACCCCCCCTCAGCGGCAGCTGCAGTAGCGGGAGACGGAGGAGGAGGAGGAGCAGGGAACGGCACACAGAAGCTGCACCCCCATACCCCCCACCCCCAAACCCTAATTCAGGGGAACGGGCAGTAGGAGGGGTGGGGCGCCATCAGAAGCACGGGGGACAGCGGGGAGGGCAGGGGCAGCGAGGAACGGGCCGCCCACGGGCCTGGCACAGCCTCCCGAACCGCGCGCAGGCGGCCCGAGCCGCGCGCGGGCCTGGCGCCGCCCGTACGGGCCGCGCGCGGGCCTGGCGCAGCTCGTACGGGCCGCGCGCGGGCCTGGCGCAGCCCATACAGGCCGCGCGCGGGCCTGGCGCAGCCCGTACGGGCCGCGCGCAGGCCGTACGGGCCGCGCGCAGGCCACGACGGGCGACGGGGGGCGACGCGCGGGTCCCCGTCGCCCGTCGCAGCGCCTCCCGGGAGCGACGCGCGGCGTGACGGGGCAGAAACCCGCCGCGCGCCTCGGGGCGCACGGCGGGCAGAAAACCGCCGTGCGCCTCGGGGCGCACGACGGGCTGAAAACCCTAATTTCGACGCCGCGCACCACAGGGCGCGCGGCGGACATGGAGTAGCAGTAGCAGCGGAAGCAGTGAGGTGGTGGGCCCACCCACAGGATCAACCCAGGAGGGTCGACCTGCTCTGATAGCATGTCAGAACCAGCAGTAGAAAGTAAGAATGAAGAAAGGAGGGCGTTTCACTAGCAGTAGTTGGGATACATATAGCAAACCCTAACAGGGCTGTACTCGCTATAGAGCACCCCACTACAGGCTAGATAATATAACATTCTGACAGCTCGCTTCAATGTCACTTGCCATCGGCGCAACTGCGCGGGCATTTAGCCAAAACCTGCTGCAGACCATTCAGGAGGCCGCTTCATGGAACAGCAAGGTGCCATTAGTCCCCGCCGTAATCGAGGAACTCGAGTTTTGGCTGCAATAATTCGACAACTTCAATGGCACCTCCTTCGACGTCCCGAGCAGCTATGATGCAATGATCCATGTGGACGCTAGCGCACACAGTTGGGAGCCACACTAGACACGTTCCCGGGAGGGCGAACCGAGGCAAATGCAGCAATGCCCGAGCATCTCACAAGGACCTCGAGCACGCAACGAGAAATGGAAGGATTTCTATGGGCTCTCCAAACGTTCGCAGGAGGGATCCACAACCGACACGTCCTAGCCAGAACTGACAACCAAGGCGTATTCTTCATTCTTCGCAAAGGCGGCTCTCGAAGCCCTAGTCTCACCACAACATGCAGAGCCATTATTCAAACGTGCATGGCCTCGAGGATTCGCCTGACGGTCGAATGGATCCCACGC